ATATGATACAGCTTTTAAAAACAAGCGGCCTCTGGCATGGTCATATATTGTACTAATGTAAACACATTCATAGAAGTTTTTTGTTTATTTTGTACAAAATGGAAGACGCTACACTTGTCAAGTTGCATTTACCAGTGTGGCAATGGAAGCTGTAATGGAGCCCAGTGGACCTTTCTACACGCTGAATTCAGACTGTCTGCGAGGCTCTGTATTGCCGGTAAACACTGTTATCTGCATGATCAGAAGTCAGCGGCGTAATAACATATTTTAACAACACTCCCACCCATGGAGGCTAATCAGAAGTGGCACCCTTTCTTTTTAGTTTCCTGACAGACTGCACACACCAAAATTCAAGTACCTCAGCAATTACCTCAAAAAGTAAGAGGAGGAGAGTGTGCAGCCATTCTCCGTTAGCGAAACAGTGTACCGTGCATACTAATAATCACTACGGAGCTAATGAATCATTTCTGGGGGCAGCAATTACCACTAAACCCTCATCACTCAAAACAGTACCTGTTGGCTGTGGGGCAACTTGTCAAATGGCTGTGCATATTTAATGACTGTCGAACTGAAGTGTTAAGAGGTATTTAAACCACTGTGAATGTTTGCGTTGTTCCCAACTATTTAGTGGTTTCAGAGAGCTGCTAATTCCATAAACTGTGACAGTAAGTGAATATGGCATTTGCGTCACTCAGAGGTCACATGTGCCATGATAACATCCAACATGTAGAATACTAAATAGCCGGAGAACCTCCTTTGCTACGAGATGATTTTCCTCCCAATTTGGAAGTATTAGAATTATCAATGATTAAGATGCTTGATTAGTTCTTTTTCTGGATGTGTGGGAAAACTTTTAGGTAAACTCAGGGAGTCAAGGAAAAGTTTACCTATAGAAGTCTCGCCTTTTCGTATAATGACTTTTAAATAACAGGAAACAGCCAGAGTGACAGGAAGTTATGCATTGTATTAGTAGGAATGGGGAGTTCAAAGGCAACATGTGCATAATTATTTTTTATATTTAGATTTCCTTAGACAGCAGCATGATTTTACTGTTAATAGAGCTGAATGATTTGGGAACTTTGTTGTTTTGATTTCACAATTAAAGAAAATGTGCATGAAACATTTGGGTGGGAGCAGATTTGAGAAAGCAGACGACTTTGAAGTTTGTAGGTCTGATGCAGTGAGTTTTTAGTATGACAATGCCACAAAGAAAACAAATCAGCAAGGGCTTTAGAAACAAACTGTTGCTGCCCATCAGTCTGGGAAGGGTTGTAAGATCATTTCCAAGTGATGTGGAGTCACAAGTGGAAATCATTAAATACAGCTGCCAGTCTTTTTTCCGCCATGGAAACAAACTTACCCCCAGGTCAGACCATCCATAGCTCAGAAAAGTTGTGAAGAAATTGATACATGGAAATAGAGAAACATTTCTAACTGTCTGGTTCTTAGTTTGGATGGTTAATGTTTAATGAATGCCAATATAGTAGGGACTTTTTTAAAAATCTGAACAGGCTTGGGAAGCTTTCAGTTGAGCCTCTCCTCTTTTAAAAGAATGCAGTAGCCCTGTTCAAGTTAGCAAATAGCAAAAAAAACAAGCTTTTTGGTCTTAATGCTTTGCACCACATTTGTTAAAAAAAACCTAAACACCACATATCAGCACAAAGACTCATGACAACTATCAGAACACTGTGAACAATCCCACAAACTTCACAAACAAATTAAATATGCTACAATATGTCTGAAACTGGATCATATAACAAGACAAGAGCAACAGTGACATCTACAATGAGATAGATGAAAGCAGACGAAAAGAGTCAAGGCACTGGAATGAAAACCTGTGAACCTGAATGAACTTTGAAAAATGTTTTTTTCGCAAATTCAAATGGCTCAACGTGAGAGACTGATGATGGCATGCAGAAAATGATTGCTTCAAGTCGTTGCTGCTGAAGGAGATACAAGCTGCTGGATGGTGCACTTCACTGTGGAGCACGGATGGATATGGATCTAAAAGTGCACAGCTGGCAGTTTCTCTGAACTTTATCAAGCCTGCAGGGCTACCAATTAGGAGGGCACAGTGTTGAAAGCAAATATTGCCTCAGCCCAGTGATCGAGTGGTCTACACTTGAGTTTTTTTTCAATGAAATTTCACCGCACATTTGTCATGATCAAGCCCCTGAGGGAGCCCTGGCCTTGTTTGAATGCATACTTGCTCATGCATTATTCATAAGCTGTAATCTGGAATTGTTCTGTTCTGCTACTGTGAAGGTGAGTATATTACCTGTTGCCAAGAAGCATGTATCTCTCTGCTCGTGATGTTTAGTTATATAATATGTATTACGTTAAGACAGAAAGCCAGACATATAGCAGGGGATTATTTACCTGTACACAAAATGTCAGTCATTCAAAAAAATGTGCATTACTTGGGAATTATTATGGAAAAAACAAATGAAGAAGAAGGGCAGATGAGCACGTAGACTGCCCAGCAGATTTGAAATTTGATTAGTAAATAACTATATATACTTCAATTAAACTGCATCTGCTAATTCTGTTTGACCAGGTTTTACAGCCCAAATAAAACAGTTATTTTCATACTGTGGAAGAGCATTTGTTTTTCATCCTCGAGTGCGAGTTACAGTATAAAGAAGCTCAAGAAGAATATCAACCACAGAGAAATGAAACACAAAAAGGACGGAGGTGGATTTGAGAGAAGAGGTGTAAGGGGATTCAGAAAAGCTGTTGAGCTCTCCTCTGTTCTCTTTTTCTATCCTCTAGCTCATGAAAATACCGTGAAAAGAAGGTAAAGGTCATCTGTTGGGTTACTGTCACTGTACATCAGTGGAATGTAGACATCCCTTTAAGGATGTACCTGCTGCATAAACAAGGACAAACACTGCCCCTGGAAACAAGCCTCCCCTGACACGAGCACGATCAGAAAAATAGTTTTTGTTTCACATGACTTTATAACATGGGGGTTTGGAATATCCATCCATCCATTTTCGTAACCGCTTATTCCCCAATGGGGTTGCGGTGGGACTGGAGCCTATCCCAGTAGTCAATGGGTGAGAGGCGGGGTGGTTTGGACTATATCACATGAAATTCTAATCTTTTGAAAAAAGCTCACTGTTATGCCTCTCTGATGGAAGATGCAATAACCTTTTTCTATTACATAATATCAGGAATTTTGTTCCAAAGGAAAGAAAATCCATATCTATTCTAAAAGTCTTGACAGCCATTGTGATTATTATTAAATAATGCTTTCAGTTTCTTTTCACTACATGGAAATAGTCACTATACATAATCCCCCAAGAGGCAGGGGCTTCATTTGGCCAGTTTAAGAAAATATTCAACGACTCTAAAATGATCTTTTTATGACAGAGATCAAACCACTGCGATATTTATGCTCCATTAGGGTCTATTTGTATCCTGGAAGACCAATGAGTGGTATCAATATTCATAAAACAGGAAACAATTAAAAAAGAATTGTGGAATAACTTTTTAATCTATAAAGGATGCAGAGCTACAATTCCCTATGATTTAAAATACTTCTGTGAAAGTTAACATTTCAAACAATAAGAGGAATAGGATACGGGGCATAAAATGACCCACAGACCACACAAGGGTTGAATATCAGTATTTTGGTTCTTGGTACTCTTTTACAAGTATCACAACTTTAACAAATCTCCCCCAATTTCATGTCTACTGGTATGGTTTTAAAGCAGTACATGCTAATTTGTCCATTTGAACGACAATTTCAACGCCAGTTGGAATAAGCCAATTGACATATCCTTTGCTTGTTTGATAGACAGTAGTGTCATATGGCTGCTCTGAGTATTATTTATGAACTGCCAACAGAAAACTTCTGCTTGTTGTAACTTTACCCATTACCCATGAGTTTCAAAGAACAGTAAAAAAAAAGAACAGTAAAAAAAAATGAACACATTTTTCTTGCTTCAAAGTACTGCAGTCAAGCATTTACTAGAACAAGAACACGGACACAGCCGTCCTGATGATACTTTTGTTGTCCTCCTCCACACATAATTAGTTCAAGAAAAGATGCACAGATGCGCAGTTTTAAGTCTTAAGTGACCAATATCCAGCCAATTTAACTGCTCACCAATCTGAGCACCATTATGATCTCATAATGATTTACTGGATGCATCCATTATATCATTATTATGAACTGTAACACAGTTTTCTAACAATAATAATTAATTTAGGAATCTGTGATACAGTATATGTTTACCAATTTATACCCTATCATAACATGTTATCTAAAAAATAAGTTAGACTGACTTCTGAAAAGCTGTCTAGAGTAGACATGAAACATTTTGCTCTCCCATACAGACTTTTTGCGTTTTTCTGCACTGGAAGCAAAGTGTTGGTGAAAGACTGACCCAAAGAAGATTATAATATAAAAATAAGTTAATCAATTCAAAGAGGCTAAGCTCGAAAAAATAAAGAAAAAACTCCACTTTAAACGAAATCCCCCAAAATCATCTGCGTAAACTAGGACCTACCGTCTGCCTCTCCCTCCCTCTTAGTGTTCAGAGGGGTTGGTCCTTACAGTGATGTCACTCATTCCCGTGTGGACACTCATACCTCACAGGATCTGCGCTCCCTATTTGTCTCCAAAGGAAAGGAGTTTACCAAAGTGCTAAAGCAGCATTACGCATGGCAATGTGACATCGCAGGAGACTCTTCGCGTGTGAAGCCCAGTGGACTGGCTATTGTTACGAATTTGATTAAAATTGGACTAAATCTGTACGTTCCATAACTTTTTCATGGACTTTTTACGAAACATTTTCTGTTTCAGTGGAGTTTTTTTCCTTGACTGCGTCCGTACGTCATGCAGCCTGCGCCTCATTTCATCTGAGCAGGACTGTTACGCACAAGCTATGGCCATGCTGTAACGCCGCAGCTCTGCGCTGGGGGATTATTTTTTGGAAGGAAAGAGGGTCCAAAATACCAAAGATGATACAAATGGACCATTTACAGGCAGAATGGATTCAAGCCAGTTAAATCTGCAGGTGGAAAACGCTTCCAATGATGAAAACGCCACCGACGCACCGCTTGCGCTGCCGCACACGGAGGCAGCCACAGCTCTCATCATCCTGGTGGTCACTGCGATCATCTCTCTGACTATTGTTGGTAATGTGTTGGTGATTGTTGCGGTGCTGACTAGTCGGGCTCTCCGTGCGCCCCAGAATCTTTTCTTGGTCTCTCTAGCTTCGGCGGACATTCTGGTGGCCACGTTGGTCATCCCCTTCTCTCTTGTGAATGAGGTAATGGGCTACTGGTACTTCGGAAGTACTTGGTGCGCATTCTATCTGGCCCTGGATGTGTTGTTCTGCACCTCATCCATCGTGCACCTGTGCGCCATCAGCCTGGACCGCTACTGGTCTGTGACAAAGGCTGTGAGTTACAACCTGAAGCGAACGCCAAAGCGCATCAAGTCCATGATCGCCGTCGTGTGGATAATATCTGCTATCATCTCTTTCCCCCCTCTCCTCATGACCAAACACGACGAACGAGAGTGTCTGCTGAACGATGATACCTGGTACATACTGTCTTCGTGCCTGGTGTCATTCTTCGCCCCGGGTCTCATCATGATTCTTGTGTACTGCAAAATTTATAAAGTGGCCAAGCAGCGCTCCTCCACTGTGTTCGTGGCCAAGAATGGCCTGGAAAGGCAGCCATCTCAGTCAGAGACCTGTTTTGTCAGGAAGGACGGGTTCGAGGGGGAGAGTCCTAGCAGCCAAAGCACCGGCAGCCAGCAGCAGAGGCAGGGGGAGCTGGACGACATTGACCTGGAGGAGAGCTGCTACTCCTCCGACGCGAAACCCCGTCACCACCGCTTCACCAAGCGCAGGAAAGTGGAAGGATCGGACTGCTGCCCGCCACAGAACTGCCGCCTGTCCTGGGCTTCTGCCCGGGCGTTGCAGCCCTGCCCGGAGCAGAGGACCTCATCCGGTCAACAGAAGCTGGCCGCAGCCAATAAGACTAAAGTGGCACAGATGCGGGAGAAGCGTTTCACCTTCGTGCTGGCCGTGGTGATGGGCGTTTTTGTGCTCTGCTGGTTCCCGTTCTTCTTTACTTACAGCCTACATGCAATCTGCAGAGAGAGCTGCTACATCCCTGGTGCACTTTTCAACCTTTTCTTTTGGATTGGTTACTGCAATAGTTCTGTGAACCCCATCATTTACACCATTTTTAACAGGGATTTCAGGAGGGCTTTCAAGAAAATCATATGCAGAACTTCAAAGAGAACATAAAGACTTTTGGTTTGACTTCACTCACTCATCAGTGTGGGATTGGAAATGTGTAGTAATTCACTGGCTCAGAGTTGTGCCTTTCCACCATTTCATTGTAATTATTGTAATATGGAAAAAGTAACCCAGTAATGTGTGTACATTTAACTGTCCGTGAATAAAACCTATGTAGTGGAGTGAAACAAACAAACAAACAAAAAAATCAGTTGATTGGAAAAACCTTAAATGTTGTTGGTCATTTATTGCCACCTGAGAGATATATATATATATATACACACAAATATGAGTGTATATGAGTGAGTGTGCGGGGTTGTTCGTCCTTGTGTGTCTCTTTGTGGGCCTGTGATGGACTGGTGGACCATCCAGGGTGTACGCTGCCTTTCGCCCATTTAAATACTGGGATAGGCTCCAGTCCTCCTGCGACCCCATTAGGGAATAGGTGATGGATATATATATATATACATACTCTGACACATAGGATAAATCATACAGCAAATACCACTTTTAGAGACAAGTTTATGTAGAATGTAGGAGCTGGATTCCATGCAGTGGCGTGGTGGCAGACAGTTCAGTGTGTTCTTTGTGTTGAGATAAATAAAAGATTAATCTCCTCCGTCTTTTACATACAAAGCAGGCCAAGCAGGCAAGTCCAAGAATGTGTTTTGTGAAAAAAAACTAAGTCTTACTGCCATGTGCAGAACCAAGGCTGACATAATGGCATTGTTGAAGGTACATACAATGCTTTTTGCTTCCTCTCAGTCATTTAAATTTAATGAACTAGCAGGCCTATGTAAGAGTTTGAATTCATACCCTCACTCTGCCTCACATTCGAACAAATCGTGAGACCTTGTAATGACGTCGATACATTTCCACATTTCATTTCCGCACAGCAGCTCAATATTTTGACAGTAAATATTTAAAAGGTGTGAGGTGACAACTCTCGCATAAAATCCTGTTATATCATCATCAAACAAAAGTATCTAGTAAAAGTATAAATAGGTTCTTTATTTCTTCGATTTATGAAAGTTTTTAAACGGGATCAAACACATACAGTCAAACCTGTAAATCTCTGCCTTGTAAAACTGTATTATCAAAGAGAAAGTCCCATAAATAATCACAAGAACAATTCACTGTCTCCCTTATTGAAAATCTGGAAACGTTTAAGTACAGGCAAATCTTCAACTTACACTGGAAAAATGATGAGGCCATTTATGATGAGAATATTGCTATGCTCACAGAGACGGGGTGTTGTGGTAAAATGCAAGACTATGTTTAAACTTGACAGCTTTTTTTTCACATGAATGTAAACTCCAGTTGGACAAATATATCATATGGGTCCATGGTCTATGCCCATGCCTCTCTGGGAAAATACTAGGAAGTAAGCAGTGGGTTGACCGCATCCATATCAATCTATTGTCTAAGTGGGGTTGCTGGAGAAAAATAGACTATTTATATCCTCTTAGGAATGTCTTCAAAGTACGCCTACAGCTCTCTGGCTCCACGCCAAAGACAATCACCCCCTCTGAGAGGTGTCATGCTTGTAAGGAAATGTTTCAAGAGTTCTTTTATTTGTGAGGTCATTGTTAAAGTGACATCACAGAAAACTGCTTTAAAGGTGGTTGCATGTTTTGTTTCCCATTGTCACCCATTTTTTACATGCAAACTTGGAAAGTCACAGAGATACTGGACTGATGTGAGGCAGGAAACTTAATCTCAAAGGAGTTCCTCAAACTCTTGCAACAAAGAGATGATTTCTCTGAAGAACAAAGTCATCAATTCATGTTTCATTAACCAGGTTGGAAATGCTTACATGAACACTCATTTCTAATTTTCCTACCAATACTGATACTGATTAGTATCCGACAAGAGCTGCAAAGCCCTTGTTGATTCACGCTCCCCAATTCAATTGCCTTTCTAATCAGCTGCTCGGTTGCAGCAGGTTTGTGTAATCTCTACAGAGGCCCTTCCTCACACTCAAACACTCGTGAACCCAGAGCCCCCACATTGTCACCATGCTTACATTTGGATTTGGTGTCAGAGGAAGTCTCACGATACAAAATGTAGATCTCTTAAAGAACTTTACTGGTACCGGTAAAAGTTACACACAGTCACAGTGTATGTTGTTGGACAATATCTATCATTGATTAAAACACCCTTTGTTGTCCTGTTGTTCATTTATGTTCCATTCAATTTTGTCCTGACAACAGAAGAGCTTCACTGGTCCAGAGGTACTCAATGGGAGTGAGTGTTGTGCTTTTAGATTAAGTTCCATTTTAAAGTACATTTGTCTTTTGTTCATCGGCTGATGCCTTGCAGTCTGTTCATCCAACCATTTAGTCCTTCACTGATCCTTGTCTGCACACACATTTGAGACTAGACCCAGTGAAATGGCATCACTTTTGTGACGTTCAACCCCCCAAACTCTCATCTGAAGGCTTCTGTGAGACAGCGCTCAAACATTCCCTGGTGTGGGACGATGAAGACAAAAGTTTTATTTCCAGCCTCTTACATAAGGATTTGAGGAGGAGTCGAGAGTTAGAGCTGTTTACGGTCGGATACATGAACCAGCCGATTTGAAGTCAGAACTTTCAGAAAGAGAACAGTCATAGAAGTTTGAAGATGGGCCGGCACAGAGGAGCAGAACTGAGTGATGGCAGAAGCAGTGGCATGTTGTCGCCCACCCCATTACTTTATCACCCACAGCAGCATCTGTAGGTAATTGCTTTTTTCAATTGTCTCTAACCAGATAAGGGTTGATGGAAAGCAAGGCCAAAACTCTCATTTATCCTCTCGAGTACCTGGAGAACAAGAGTCCGTTTGTCATTAGAGTAAATTAGCTGGTGTCACTTGGGGTCGCAATTCGCCGTCTCCAGGCTTTTCTGATACACCCTGTCACTTTGTGACACAATCAACATGTGACTAGTAGTATCAAAGTAAATCAGACAAGTTCAGTATTCATTCAAGAGATGGCAGTCAGATTACTGAGCTGCTACTCTGCACGTGCTGATTGTAAACTTTCAGACCTGTAGAAACAGTGGGCAAGAAGAGAATCTGCAGTCTATCAGACATTTTATTGCTCACAAACAAGGTTTAACAACAGGACAAAACAGCACAAACTGGAGATGAGTGGGTGAGTTTTGATGCTGAAGATTGTCTTTCTTTTTTTTCTTGTAACTGTGTATATACAAGGTTGTATTCTTTCTTCATGATTGTAAAAAGAAGCCCTGCTACTTAAACTACTTTTTATCAGATCAAATTAATGGCCAGGAGAATCCCAGAATAATCCTTTGATTTATTTTTTAAAAAATAATATTTTTCCTTGTTCTGTCACCAGGAATAAAGATGAGGAATATTTCTCACCTTATCTTAATGGGTTGTGAATAATGTGTCATTTTGTAAGCTTTCACATGATAAATATGGCTATCTGAAGTCAGTGGGAACTCTCTCAAATCATTTCAATCTTTGAACGTTCTTCAGATTGAGGTAATTCAGTGACTTGTTCTGAACTAATATGAAATCAAAGCTTTAGAAGCAACAATAATTTTCAGTCTACACGTTCTTCAACACAAATAACTTCAGAGCCTAATGTTCCATCAGTCAGCACCTCTGTTTTCTGTGTCACTGTGAACTGCAATGTCTCTTCAGCTGTTTGATAATTATTCACTCAATAAAGAAGCCAATGATGCTCTATTGTTTTTTTTTTTACAAATGTATCTATGAGGAGAACAACCTATCACTTGTTTTTAAATGTGCACACTGCAGTTGATAACCCTGAGGTCCTGATCTGACTTTAAGGCAGCAATGACGAAAATAACATTAGTTGAAACACTTTCTTTATATTCTAAATTCTATATTATATATATTCTTTATATTTCTTTATATTCTATATTCTTCTGTTAATCCTAAAACATTGATCAAAATGATTGACTTTGAACCCCTGGATTAATGGAGCCAATGCATCATTGGAAAATAGGTTTCTTTTCTTTTTAGGGTGTTACCTGCTGACAGGCTATCATCTTACTTTATCATTCCTATGTGCTGTGCAGTAGTTTACCCACTGGGCTCAGCAAATCTTTTATAAGAGGTCTGCCAAGCTACAGTCAAAAGAAACGTGAAAGCATGTGTTTGGATCTCATAACTCTTCCTGCACACAGTTCATTGAGCTTGTGTTAGGGTTCGGACGCAGGGTAACAATGAAATGGTTTAAGTTCAAAGCTGCTGATTGTCAGCTGCTACTCAGGATTCAGGTGTGAATCCTGCGTCGCATTAGAGGTTGCCATGGTGACGCCGAGTAAGGTGTAGCACAATCTGAATTTCACAGAACTTTCTATTTGAACTTTGATATTTAGGGATTAAACATTAAACAAGTTTTCCAGCTTTGCGTGTGGTTAACCTTTTTCAACTAAATCTGGAGTTTAATTAGTATTTTAATTATTTTAATTTGGAAGCTTCCGATTCAGCATGCGTTAATTGTTGATTGATCACCTCTATAGGTAGTTTTTCATTACAGTTAACATTGAGTTACCTTGTACGAGTCTGAAAATAGTTTTTAAAGCTAATGTGGTAAGAGACACAGCTTTTTATACCTTACCTGAGAGTCCTGAGGCCTACATAACTTTTTCTTTCCATGCCTGCTCTCTTCCCATTCATCTTAAAGGTAACAATATCAATCATTGGGCCCTGGTATCCCACATACATCTATATTAAGTCTGTACTCCATTACGTTTTAGATCACAGTCATTTGTTCAGAAATAAATCTTCTCATTCTCAGTCCAGACGATGCTGGAAGATTATCAATACTGAGCTGATAAGAGCTGGCGACAGTTTTAACTCACTTCTTTGAAATAGTGTACTAATATATAAGTAAACATGCTGTCATTCCCTTAAACTATAACACTGTCCTTCACAATTTTTATGAACTCACAATAGGTTTGCCAACTATGAATCGTTTTGTCATTTGAGCAGGATGTCAGTGTGCACGATCAGTAAGCAGATCTAAGATA